CCAACTTGTCACAACCCTAAAACTGACCCGGTCGTGATGGCCCCTATCGTGAAACTAGGTCAGTCGACACAATTCCTGAATCGAACCACTATTCTATAAAAATCATTTTTAAGCCATTAATTAACAGAAATATCTCACAATATATGTTTAAATAAGCAATGCAAAAATATAACACAAGCCCGACATCGGGGTGTCACCAGTCATGAGCAACTACAAACCCCTCTAAGAACAAGAAAGGCTAACATAGTCCGAAAATAAAATACTAAGACAATCTGAGTAAGGTAAGAAGGAGAAGTGCAGGGCTGTGAACGCCAAACAGCTACTTAACCAACTCCGAAAACCTGCTGGAAGACTGATCAGCACTCACTATCGTGTCCCGAGACTCCTGGATCTGCACACAAGGTGCAGGGAGTAATGTAAGTATGCCAACTCAGTAAGTAATAAAAGTAAAAGCAGTTGAGAAGTAAGAAAATAGGTAATTCCACGTCATAACACTACATCAAAACAATATATGTCCAGAACAATACAGAAAATCAATTAACTCGTAAAAACGACTCAGTTTCAGTAAAACCTTTTTAAAACTTCTTTCAATAGTTTCAAACAAGTGGTGAAACAATGAGTAAAAATGACAGAAATGCAAACAGCCCCTCGGGCATAACATGTACCATAAACAGCCCCTCGGGCCAAATATCAATAGAACCAGCCCATCGGGCTACCTCACAGTCACTAGTAATCAGCCCCTAGGCAACAATATGAATCAACAACAGCCCCTCGGGCTACATCACATCACTCACACTGGGTACCCGCGCTCACTGGGATGTTCAGCCTCCGGAGGGGCTCTTACAACCCAAGCGTTATCATAAGCCATCTCGTGGCATAACAAATCAGGCCATCGGGCTCTCATATATCACAAATCAGTACAACGTGCTGCGGTGTGCAGCCCGATCCCATAATATCCTCACAACACAGGCCCTCGGCCTCACTCAAATAGAAACCTCTCAAGCCACTCGGGCAACTATTAAAACATGATACTCAGCCCAAAATATTATTTTAAATATCAAAACAGAGTAACTACGGCTGGGTTGTGAAATCAGTAAAATACAACATGACTGAGTACAGATATTAAGTCAAAACAGTAAGGTATAGTAGTAAAGGGCCCCTAAGGGCCCAAATAGTTGGCACGAGACCCAAATATGGCATTCAGCCCAAAACATAGTAATACTTTCCAATACACAATAGTATCAAATAGTTTTCAATCAAATACGCGACTTAATAGTCATACGGGACGGACCAAGTCACAATCCCCAATAGTACATGCCCCCACGCTCGTCATCTAGCATGTGCGTCACCTCAAAGTAGCACCACGATGTGAAATCCGAGGTTTCATACCCTTAGGACAACATTTACAATCATTACTTACCTCAAACCGGTCCAGACTCTAGCCCGTGATGCCTTTGCCTCTCAAATCGGCCTCCAAATTCTCCGAATCTAACCAAAACCAGATTCATGCCGTCAATATAAGGTAAAGGTAAAAAGCCCACGCGAAAATAATCATATTACATCAAAAATCCCAAAATTGGCAAAACCCGACCCCAGGGCCCACGTCTCGGAATCCGATAAAAATTACATCACAAGAATCCTTATCCTCCCAAGAGTCTATACATACCAAGAATATCAAAATTGGACCTCAAATGGCCCCTCAAATCCTCAATCAAAGCTCTCCATTTAGAAGCCCTAATTCTCCAATTTTAGCCCTTAAATCCCACTAATTTCATGTCTAATTAGTTAGAAATCACCACAGAATCGAGTATTGAGTTAAAAAATCTTACCTCCGAGCGTTACTCCTTGAATCCCTTTTCAAATCCTCTCAAAAAGATCCAAACCTATCTAAAAATGGAGGAAATAAGCTGAAAATCGCGAAGGAATGCTTATATAGTTTATGCCCAAGCATTTCCACACCTGCAGCCCCAAACACGCACATGCGTGACCACACATGCGGTCCAACAGCTCGCACCTGCGGAAGTCACTTATCCACCCAAAACTGCATCTACGGTCAATTACCCGCATCTGCGGCTCCTGCCCTTCTCAACCTACATCTGCGGCCCTTTCTTCACTTCTGTGGGCCCGCACCTGCGGTCCCCAATCCGCAGGTGAGGTTATGATAGGAACAACAGCTGAAGCTGCTCAAGCTCAATTCCAATCTTTCCGACAACCTTCCGAAATGTTCCCGAGGCCCCGGGACCTCAACCAAAAATACGAACATGTCACATATCACCATTCAAACTCATACCAATCCTCGGAACACTCAAAATAACATCGAAACACCAAATCACCCTCGGATTCAAGCCTAAGGATTTCCAAACTTCCGAATTTCGCAATCAATCTAAAAACCTATCAAACCTCATCTGAATGACCTGAAATTTTGCACACTTGTCCCAGATGACATAATGGACCTATTCCAATTTTTGAAATTCCAATCCGACCCCGATATCAAAAATTTTACTACCAATCGGAAAAAGCCAAAATTTCATTTTCGCCAATTCAAGCCTAAATCTACCACAGACCTCCAAAATACATTCTGATCACGCTCCTAAATCCCAAATCACCTCACAAAGTTCTCTGAACCATAAAAACTAAGTTCCGAGATCATTTACTCACAAGTCAACTTCCAGTTGACTTTTCTAACTAAAGCTTCCCAAAAAGATACTAAGTGTCTCATTTCTTTACAAAACTACTCCGAACCCAAACCAACCAATGCGAGGCGATGAAATGTAGCTGGACAACACATAAAGAAGCAGAAATGGGAAAAACAGAGCGGTAACTTATGAAACGATCGGTCGGGTCGTTACAAACAATCATAGTGAAATAAGTACAATATCTTTTTAAATTTGAGGCGTTTTTAAAGCTTTTTTCCCGTAATTTACTTGTATTGTATAGCTCCCACTTTATGGAGTAATTGAATAGCTTACATGCTTGAATTAGATCATATTTCACAACTTTCTGAAAATTAATAAAAGAAAGAAAAATAAGAAAAAAGGTGTTTATTGATATATAGAAAGTATGTGAAGCCCTTGTCCTTAATTTATACCACTAAGTCAAAAGAAGGAGAGAAGACAAATCCTTGGATTTGAAAGCATAGACTTTTGAAACTTAGATATAGGTTAGTCAAACTTTTCCTGATCACATAAGTGGGCCTTTGTCCCACCGCCGTAGTTGTCCAAATATCTTCTACTATTTGTGGCCTTCATCAAATCTTAAGACATTCTAGGGGAAGTGCACGGCATGTATTTACTTTTAAGTTACCGTTTAAAATGTTATTAATCTTTAGCCACTATTTTAATAAATTTTAACTGTCCGGACAAAAATACCCTTCTGCTCATGTTCTTAACTTTTGTACTTAACTTCGGGACTTCAGGAGTTCAGGACTACATGTCCTTTACTTTTGAACATGGAAATCTAAGTTCAGGACTTTAGGACTACATGTCCTTAACTTTTGAACCTATAACTCTAAGTGCAGGACTTCAGGACTACATGTCCTTAACTTTTGAACCTATAACTCTAAGTGCAGGACTTCAGGACTACATGTCCTTAACTTTTGAACTTGAAACTCTAAGTTCAGGACTTCAAGGCTACATGTCCTTAACTTTTGAACTTGGAACTCAAACTTCAAGACCAAGCGTCCTTAACTTTTGAACTTGTAAGTCAAAGTTAAGGACCTATTGTCCTTAACGTTTGAACGTATAACGGTAAGCTAAGGGCTGTCTGTCCTTAACTTTTGAACTTGGAAATCAAAGTTAAGGACCTATTGTCCTTAACTTTTGAACTTGTAACTATAAGTTAAGGACTGTTTGTCCTTAACTTTTGAACTTGTAACTATAAGTTAAGGACTGTCTGTCCTTAACTTTAGAACTTGTAACTGTAAGTTAAGGACTGCATGTCCTTAACTATTGAACTTAACTTTAGGATTTCAAGACTACATTTCCTTAACTTTTGAACTTGAAACTCTAAGTTCAAGACTATGTCCTTAAATTTTGAATTTAACTTAAGGACTTCAGGACTACATGTCCTTAATTTCTGGGAAGGAATTACATTACCTGTTTACTCATCACTCTTTTTCTTATATTCACAACTTTTAGATCTAAAAATAAATTCAAGGAGCTAAGAGCAAATAAACCCTATTACATTAGACTCACTAGAAAGAAAAATAATCAGCACACCGATTCTGCCACAAGAGAAATGGCAGAAGCGTAATAGCTTCTTGAGAAAGTAAAACAGTAGCAACGTTTTCTTCGGAGGAATCTCATTTGGAGGCCAAATTTATCTTACGCGAATCACAGTCATGACAATGAAGACGATAGCAAGCCCAAAAGTAAGAAAAATCCCGCCGATCATAAAAACTTAGAAAGGGTAATACTGTCTTTTCATATTTTAATAGATTAGTGGCTACTATTATTAAGCATTAAAAATGTTGGATAAAAAGTAAATATTACTTTAAAAAGTGGCTACCCCACACAATTTTTACACATTCTATGTGAATTGAAAAGCCCACATGAAAGCTTTCAACCGAGAAAATGAATGCTTTGTGGTTTGGGCAAATCCGAAATTTAAATAGAAATTCAAAATATTCAGTGATTAATCCGAATTTAAAAAATTCGATCCACCTCGAGCATATTTGAATTGTTATTTCTTCAATGCAAAAACCAAAAATCCAACCTGAAATTTTTATATCCATCCAAACTGTCTGAACGTCCATCCTACGGTAGAGACCATGCACTAAGTCCTAGTAGCCACCCTTAGAGCGGATGGAATTCAATATTTTTGCAAAACGAATTTTATATATGTGTGTGCTTGTTTGTGCGTAAAAAGAGTAATTTTAACAGATATTACATTTTGAGTTCTTAATTTCAAAAGTATAATAGGTTCAATGATAATTGATAAAAACCTAAAAATTGAACATAAATCAAATTTAATTCTAGATCCGCCACGGCAGGCAACCAATGTCCACATGTAACTTCCATTCATTAATAACATTTAGCCTGTTACAATGCTGCTTTTGCAGCTCATCAATAAATTGAAATTTGAGAGCTCTATTACAAACTTTACAGTTTATTGAGACAACATATCCTATACTCCATCATCATAAGGAAAAGAAGTAGAATCCAACCATTCTTCTCCAGTAATAAACTCTGAAACAGTAAAATTAGAAGCATCATAATAATCCATTATGTGATAACCTAACCATGTAACTCTATTATCAGTCACAGATGCAGGACCAGTATTATCAAACTCACCATAGTACAATGTATTCAAACTTTGATTTCCTGACCATTCTTTCCACCCTTCAGGTTCAATAAAACCGTCTATGTACGACTCAAGGTATACTGTTCGTGAATAATTTCTCCACGGTCTTCCTAAGTAACTATTGATACTACTAGAATTAGAGTATAAATCCTCTGTAGCTAAAATAGAACAATTTTGTATCGAGATACCAGTATACTCCTCAGGGGAGTCGCGCGATTGAGCTGTAATGACTGTGAATTGGCCTGGCATTGGCATTCTTGACACGATGTTACATCCTTGGAAAACAACTGCTGCATTTCCGAAAATGTAATCTACAGTCCCGTAGATGTCACATTCTCTGTAAAATTGTCGAAATGAATGCGCGTATAAAGTGTCCTGGAATCCAGTTATGGTGCATCTATAGATAGCCGCTAAATCTGCATTGATTCGAAGGGCAACTGCTTGGTGCTTCTCTGGTCCAGCTGTGTTCTCAAAAGTAATGTCACGAGCCAAGAACCCTTCACCAGAGACAGCTGAAATCAATCAAAGAGCATAATTATGTTATCCATACAACATTAATAAATATATACTCCTGAAATCAATCAAAAGAGCATTATGTAATCCATACAGCATCAATAAATATATTCTCCATTTTTAAATCAATCAAAGAGCATTATGTTATCCATACAACATTAATAAATATATTCTCCTTCTGTTCCGTTTAATGTGGAACTTCGAGTTTTTGGTCAATATTGTCCCTTATTTTTGATAGTAGGTCTATTTTGGTCCCTCAAATATAACTCTGAGCATATTTAGTCCCTTAAGTATGCTAAAGTGGAGCACATTTAGTCTCAATGACAGAATCTGCCCAAGATCAATTACGGGGTTGGTTTCGGCACTCACTGTCTTTTTAATTAAATCATCAAAAATATTTTATAAACCAACACTCACTAATAGTACAGAGCTGATAAATTTAAAATTTTAACGTTGAAACTTTTACTTTTAAAAATTTCGGTTGATTTTTCCAAAAAGAAAAGTTAAAATTTGAAAAAATAGAGCTGCCAAGATCACTTCTAGGCATATTATTGAAGCAAACGAATAACCGGATTGTATTATCACTTTTAGCCCGCACCAGAAACTATTTACATCCGGTAGCCGAAAAAAATACATAAAATTTGTATAATTTTTATATATTAACATACAAAATGTATATATATACAAAATAATATACAAATTTATATATTTTTTCGACTATTGTTTTTACAGCGGCTATACGGCGTCATTTTCTCATTGAAAACTGGCACAGAAGGGGATATTTTTAAGGTCAAAATTTTAGAAGATATTATCTAAAAATGAGGAATTAAAGTGATAATTTGCGTTATCCAATAAAAGGAGAGGAAACGTTTTGTTTCAGAGTAGAAGATTTGCTTCATGAATCAGAGTTGGTTAACAGCGTTAGTTTTTGAATACATTCTATCAGTGAGACTAAATGTGCTTCACTTTAGCATACTTAAGGGACTAAATATGCTCGGGGTTATATATGAGGGACCAAAATAGACTTACCCTCAAAGATAAAGGACAATATTGGTCAAAAACTCCGGCGGGGTTTGTAATACTAGTAGTTTGACTACTTAACTTTTGGTATGAATTCGAACATAAATTCTTCAAAAAAAATTATAATAATATTTATACATCTAAAAATTATATATAAAATATGATAAGTCATAATAGTTTATAATTAAAATATTTTAAGAAGTCATCAGAAAAGAAAAATGTCCCTAATAACAACACTTGTAAAAGTAAAGTCATCATAGAAAAAAGCACATAAAACATAAAGAGAAAAGTTTTAAGTGATTGAATTTACCAACAGTGGCAGATCTATTTAGTATTATTGTTATACATAGCAAATCATAGTATTAGCAATATTATATTTTTTTAATATATGAATAAATATGTATAAAGACAAAACTAATATTTCAAAACCTTTAATACACCAAATCAAACAGTTGATGAGAAATAATGCCAACATAATTAATCCCAGCATAACATTATTATTCCCAATATTACTAATACTTCATATTTAATATTCTCTCCGTTTCAATTTAAATGATATATTTTTCTTAATAGTTCGTTCCAAAACACATTTCTATATTTGAAAATAATTTAATTTTAAAATTTTTTATATTACTCACTTTACCCTTAATGAGAAGTTTTCACAGCTACATAAATGTCATGGCCCCACGAAGCATTTGCCTTAAGTTTCTAGGACCATATGTTTCAAAAAAATTCCATTTTTTCTTAAACTCTATATGCTAAATCAAACTAGATGATCTAAATTGAATTGACGGAGTACTATTTTTAGAGACCCTACCAAACGACCCCTAAATGTATCACATAAACTTGAATAGAAAAAGGCACATAAAACACAAAGAAAAAGTTTTTAAGTAATGAATTTACCGACAGTGGCAGATCTGAAAGTAGTCCAACCATCAACAACATTTCTATCACCAGTTACCACAGTAACATCACTCCCATCTCCAAGAAGAACAATGTTACTCTTCCAACTTGGTATCTCTACATTTTCTTCATAAACCCCTTCTTTAACATAAATGAAAATTCTGTCATCACTGTTATTCGGTGCAAAATCAATAGCTTCAGTAATAGTACTGAAATTTCCAGTTCCATCAGCTGCCACTGTGAATGCCACCTCATCATTCGGCTCATAATCACTCTGCAATATGCGCCTGTCTTTCCCACACAGCCACCTCGGCGGCGTGGACAAAAGCCGACGCCGCCTATTTCTATTCCCTTGTTTTTTAATAGAGTATTTTGAGAGCATTGACAAAGAATTACTAACATGCTCGTAAGTACTGCTGAGAGAGTTAATAAGTGTGGATTTTAACGGACCAGTAGTAAAATCTAGGCCTTCTAAACAAGTGGCTTTGTTCGTCAGTGCTGCACTGAGAAAAGCTTTTGCATCAGCTAATATTTTAGGGTTATTAGCTGATGAGACAGTATTGATCCGAGAGAGTGATTTCTTTATTGAAGATATTGTAATTTGATGAAGCTCTTTGCAATCTTGAACGATACCTTTTTGTTTTTCGACAAGATTTGAGCCTCCAGCTGATGAGAATAAAGTTGTGAGATGTCCTGTTTGGGATAAGGCTGATTGAAGAGATTGGAGGAGAAGGTTTAAGATGTTTGGGCTGATATTAATGGAGATTGATAATTTGAGTGAGTTGAAACAGGATTCTGGATATGGAGTGGAGTTGCATAAGGATTTTAGAGAAGAAATATGAGTAGCGTTCAAAGTTGGAGTATTAGATGAAGAATTAAAAGCAAAAGTTGTTAGTATGAAAGATGCTGAGCACATCATGAGCAAGAGAAATTTCGTAATAAAGGAAGAGCCCATCTTGACCGCGTTTGGTATAGTGAAGAGAAATGCTCCAAGGAATTTCACTTCTTATATAATAAAGTCTTGAATTTCACTTTTTATATAATAAATTCTGTTTGAAAAGCCATGTGTGATTGTGATGACCCAAAGGGTCATCTTCTATTTTAGAACTCGAATCCGTGTTTCGAGGCTTTAAAAACCTCATTTTATCTCTTTTCGATTTGTGTGCCGCAGTCCGGGCGTATATCCGGAAAGCCCTTATGTAAAAAATTTAAGAAATGATGATTTTTGTTGACTTCGGCCGACGTTTTAGGTAAACGGACTTGAACCCGTGTTCCGATTATCCCGGAGGGTCCGTAGTAAAACATGGAACCTGGGCCTATGCCCGGAATCGAATTCCGAGGTCCTTAGCCCGATAAATGAATTTTTGAAGGAAAATTGAAAAGACTGAAAATGTAATAATTTAAAAGATTTGATCTTGTTGGTATCGGTCTCGTATCTTGGTTTCGGAGCCCGGTACATGTTCATTATGATATTTAAACCTTATCTGTGAAATTTGGTGAAAAACGGAATTCATTTGACGTGATTCAGACCTTTGGTTGAGAAAATAGAAGTTTTGAAACTATCTTGAAAATTTCATGCAATTTGGTGCTAAATTCATAGTTCTGGGTGTTATTTTGGCGATTTGATCACACGAACAAGTTCGTATGTTGTTTTAAGACTCGTGTGCATGTTTGGTTTGGAGCCCTAAGGGCTCGTGTGAGTTTTGGATAGGCTACGAAGTGATTTTGGAACTTAGAAATTTGCTGGTGTAACTGGTGTATGTAGCAGGCCTCTGATCTTGCAATTGCGAGATTAGGCTTCGCAAATGTGAACCAAGCAGGCTTGGCAATTGCGAGGTATTTATCGCAATTGCGAATAAAGCCTGGGCCAGCAGATTTCGCAAATGCGAACAAATCTTTGTAATTGCGAAGGGGATCTGGGGAAGGGCATGTTAATGCGAATATTTACTCGCATTTGCGAGGGGTCAGAGATCGCAAATGCGATACTTTTCTCGCAATTGCGATGGCAGCATGACTGTGAAGGGCTTCGCATTTGTGATAGCTTCTTCGCATTTGCGAGCTTCGCAATTGTCGCAATTGCGACATCTGCAGTTGAGTAAAAGGGTCTTAGACGGGATTTTTTATTCATTTTCCCATTTTTTAAAACCTAAACTTCAAAAGGCGATTTTTCCAAAGGCTAGTTCTTCCTCAAATCATAGGTAAATGATTCTTAATTCATTTCTTTCAATCTTTTACATCTTTTTATAAGATTTCATTCTAGAATCTAAGGTTTTTCATGGTGGAATTGGGGATTTTTAGGTAGAACTTAGGAATTTCGAAATTTGGGGATTTAGACCTCAAATTGAGGTTGGATTCCAAAACCATTTGTATATCTGGGCTTAGGGGTGAATGAGTAATCGGGTTTTGATCCGAATTTCGAATTTTGACCAAGCGAACCCAGGGTTAGTTTTTGACTTTTTGGGAAAAATATTGGGAAACTTATAATTATGCATTGGAATTGATTTCTTTAGCGACAATTGATGTTATTAAGTTATTTATGACCAGATACGAGTGGATTGGAGGTGGAATCGAGAGGTAAAGCGGTAATTCAACTCTGAATTGCCCATTGGCTTGAGATAAGTGTTTGGTCTAATTTTGACTTGAGGGATTAGGGATCCCCGACTTAATTGCTATGTGAAAATCCATGTGTGTGGCGTATAGGTGAGGTGACGAGTACCTATGCGCCGCTAAATTATCTATTTAGCCTATTCCCTTCCTCGTTCCTAGTATATTGTTTTCCTGTTTTAACTGCTACTTGCTTATTGATGCTTCCATGTTTAATTGATTCTTGTTAAATGTTGTTTTCTCTATTGAAGGTATTAATTGTTCCGCAGTTTCATTATATTACATTGTTGGTTTAAGTTGGTTTATTGGTGCTTCATGGTACACTTTGGTTGGTCTCACTGTGTAGTATTAACTGATGAAATTTCATAATTGTATAGATTTCCCGTTGTTTTGGTTTGAGGTGTAAATGCTGCGGAGGGTTTTGAGCTATGTTGTGAAATACTTATTCTTATTTTGTGATTGGTACTGATATGGTGGGATCGGGTTGCACGCCGAAACAGGAGGAATAAGGGTAAAATGTGATTGTCTGGTGGGATCAGGTGGCACACCGCAACAAGGAGTAATAAGGGTGGATAGGTGGGATCGGGTTGCATGCCGCAACAAGAGCAATAAGGGTGATATATATTGAGGAGTAATAAGGGTGGACTGGTGGGATCGGGTTGCACGCCGCAACAAGGAGTAATAAGGGTGAATGTTCATATTGTTACTTGTTATATGGTGGGATCGGGATGTACACCACATCATTTTGTTGTTTATGTATTCTTCCTCTGTTGGAATTTTATTCCGTGGTATTGTGACTCTCTTAAGGATTGGTTATAGCTGAGTACTGTAAATTATTTGGGTTCTGTATTTATTTTTTTGCAAGTTACTCTTGTCGCGCCCCCTTTTTCTCGCGAAATCGGGTTTATGATATTTGGTATAGGACAACTCGTTCCTTTTAGGAACTGGGTTTTGTATTTTGAAGAGTCGTCACCTAATGATTTAAGGTGCATTAGGACACCAATAAGGTTAAATTCTAAGTTTCGTTGGAATAACCAGAGATAGGGTAAGGGCTTGAAATTATCCTAAGGAGAAGGTGTTAGGCACCCCTCAAGATCCACTAGTGTGGTTCCCGTCCAGATAGTTTATTATGAGTTTAGCAAATAGACAAGTATGAGCTCAAATATTAATGGATTTAAATTTAAACATATAAAAGAAAGAACAATTAAAAGAAGAGTTTTAAAAAAAGGAGTTTGTAGATAAAGGAAATGGGGTCCTAGGTTTATATTTAATATGGATCACATCAATGCGATATCCGATATGACACTCCTCAAAAGAGGGGATACTCGTGGTATTAGCGCATCGGTCATCATATTCATATCTACCCTTCCCACCCCGTTAAGGTGTTAAAGCGCGGATTGGTCTCGATTACTATTGCATGCTATTTACCCGTCCTATTTCTATCAGTCTCAGAAGAGCTTAGGACTACTATTCCTAAAGGGGGAATATTAGGCTGATTTTTGGTTTCAAAGGGTAAAAATCTAAGGCGACATACAAAACACATATATTGCATGTTGGGGAAGCATATAAACAGGTAAAGGCCCATGTACACCTCCTCAAACAAAACATATAAATAGCATGACTTGCACATACTTTTTTAGGTCTGATTAAAATACTAAAGACGAGGGGAGTTTGATTATTGAGGCAGATCTGTTTATTACATAATTCAGATAAAAAGTCTGAATCAGACCTGCTGGTTGTAGCAATTAACAAAAGCGGATTCAATTTTATGGTTATTACTCTAAGGCTTGCCTAAGTATTTTAGGTGAGGTCCTATAGACATGATATCTAATTGATTCAGAATGTGGAGAAACAGTAACAACTTAAAGCGAATTGTTTGAAATCCTATAGGCATGCTTGCTAAACCTCGTTAAATAGAGAAGGAAAGTTGTTTAAAACTGGTTCAGAATCGAACTAATTTTAAATTGAACTAGTTTCAGATTCTGTAGGCGATGGTATCTAATATTGCTGATTTTAATCTCTATAGGCATGATATCTAACATTGAATGTGAATAGAAAATGAACCAGAATTTTACTTGGGAATCCCTATAGGCATGATTTCTATATGTTATACTGATTTCAATCTTATGAGCATGATACTTACTTATATCCGTTTAGAACTTAAAGCATGATATCTAAGTGGCATGCAGAATTTAAATAAGTCCTATAGGCAGATTATCTAAGTGTGAAGTTGAGCATGAAGAAATTAAGATAACCCTATAGACATGGTGTCTAAAAATGCAGAATTGAACATGCAGAAATTTAAGAAAAACAGTCCTACAGGCATGCTTTCTACCCTTGAGCATACATGATCACCTAACCCTTTTTACTATCCAACCCCAAATGTTTATTACAAATTATTACAGACCAGAAGTAATGAATTATACCAGAAAAGTACAAAGAAACGTTACAACCAAAGGAAGCCTGATTCTTGACTTCCTCTTTGAGTTATGGAATAAACCACCTCAAATGTCATTGATCCAAAGCCTTTCTCAGACTTGAGTGTGTCAAAGTTCCCTAAGGGTCTCAAGAGGACCTAGGGCAGTGCTCACACTCAAGTTACATAACCAGAATAGAGATGAGTATAGTGTGAAAATACCAGCCCTTATGTGTCCAAGTTTAGAGGGAGCTCATGGGTCCCAAGGCAAGGCTCACACAAGGGGGGCAGAACTTAAGTTCTAGGAAGATAGTGAAAGTGCAGGAACAGAGTTTCAAAACTGAAGTGAGAGGGAGACAGTAATCAATAACATATAGAGTTAATAACTTCATACAAAGGGGGCAAGGGTTGGGAATCCATTGCAAGGAGCCTATATACTTAGGCATGGGTTAGCTTTGGGCATGCACAACAATGGGAAGCGCTGACATGCCTGTAAACTAATAAGAACATACAACATATAAGAGAAACATGGAGCTTATGATCCCAGGGGAATTAGGTTTGGGTCATGCACAGCAATGTCCCATGTTGTCATGCCCCAAATTAACCACAACACATTGGGGTAGGGGTTTAAGATTCACATGTCATGATACATTAATTCTGAATAGGAAAAGGGGAAATTACAGCATGTTTAATAATGGTACTGAGTTAAATACAAACAGTAGACAAACAAGGATGCAAGAAACAGTAAATAAGCATGTTGTTGTTGGTGCAGAAGCTTAATTAGAACATACCAGTAAGAAATGCGAATGCAGAAAAAAATAAGCAAGTTTCCCACAGCCGAGCCTTGGCTTTCAGCCGGCTAGTTAAGGCAGCAATACAAGTAGTAACAGAGAAAAAAGAGAGATTTGGTGGGGTGTGTGTCTGAACTCAAGTGTTTTATGCCTTGTGTTCGTGTGTTTGAAAGAAAAGAAGTACGGGGTATTTAT